GTATGTATGTATGTATGTATGTATGTACGTATGTATGTATGTGTGTATGTACGTATGTGTGTATGTATGTATGTACGTATGTGTGTATGTATGTAGGTATGTGTGTATGTATGTACGTGTGTATGTGTGTATGTGTATATGTGTGTGTATGTATGTCTTTGTATGATATAAATGAAATGTTTACTTAGTACGTAGCTAATTATGTAAGTAGAAAAGGATTTTACGTTTGTACTATACTAGTAATAGTAATAAGATGGATGTTACTGTTCGTGAGAGCTTACGTGTGTGCTGGCGGAGAAGCTTGCGTTTGAATGTACGTGTTCTCACACATAACTGATTTTGTGTGTGCGTGCAAATTGTTGTATCTTATATGTTTACAGTAGTGTAAGTGGGCTTACGTAATTGTAGCATTAGTTCAGTAGCAATTTCCTCTCCTAAATTAAATTATCAAAACTGTGTCGATGGAGTCGTAAAAATACTTATATTTTGAACAAAATGTTAAAAGCTGGCTCTCACAGAGGTGTATATTATTATACTATGCTACTAAAGTATTTAGGTCTCTGGTTATTTTTTCTATTGTTTTTGAAAGGTGCGTGTGAGGAGGGGGGGGCATAGGTCTCGGCTATTAGAGCAGGAGCTAGGGTTGATTCCGAAAACTTATATGGGCGTGCCTTTCAATACGACAACTCAAGTTGTTAATTCTTTTACTTTCTAGAGCTGGAATTGCCGATGAGTTGATGAGTTGGGATAGAGTAAGAGGGCCAAAAACGTACTCAATCAAAGATGTAGAATGATGGGGTAAGTGCGACTTTGACATAATAAATATTCTGTAAGTGATTATTTGAGGAATGACCCTGCCGATTGGCTGTCAGTGCAGCTAAGTATCAGAATAAACATTGTATAGAAGAAATATACGAGATGAGTTAAAATAAAGACTTTAATATCCGTCGTACAAATGCCGTCCAAATTTTGTCCAGAATGGCACAACAATGAGATTTGGTGAATGCTATACAAAGTAAATTAGTCCACAACAAGTTATAATATAATACACACTAAAGACTGAGACCGTACTGTAAAATATGTGTTTGAGTAAATAGCATTATGAAAAGGAAGAAATTAATGATCCTTTGACGTTAAAGAGATAGAAGAACACCACTCGGGCCACTAGTATAAGGATAGGAAAAAGTAAACGTGGAGTTTGTACAATCTGTGCCTATATTCATGAACATCTCCGTGGTAGAGGAAAGTAGAAAAGAACGTGAAATAGCAGGGTGACAAAGAATTGAAAACAAAAACAGCACGCCAAAACCGCCCACGCAATACATCTAGCATGTTTTATGTTCAGTGTGTGATGATAAGTTCCCTGTGTGAGGTTTCAGTCAGAATAAATTGCTCATATCTTCGAAACAACACTGGCATATGATGGAAGGAAAAAATATCAGCATCAAAATCAAAGACCTGAAAATCAATAAAATAACGCCTTATTGTCTACACTCGAAACATACACGTATATATACACACACACACACACACACACACAC